AGCCGAGGGCTGGGGGGGGGGGGGGCAGCCAAAATTTTTTTTGCTTGGGGCGGCAAAAAACCTAGAGCCGGCCCTGATAAAAAGGAAGGGAGACAGAACAGGAGTTTACCTGCCTCTGCAGGACGGGTCATTCGGAATCATGGGCTGAGGACTGGATGTCGTTATGAGTTTCAGGACTCACAAGTGAAAAAACAAAGTTTCTTGAATCAGAGCAAGGCCGAATGACTTTCCTCTCAGGAAGAAGTCTCCAGTCTGGTCTGCTCCTTATGTCTCGGGGGCAGGGAAAATGAGAGGAGATGAGACAAGCTGGGATGCAAGATAGAACAGGTGACAAAATTATTTTTTCAGTCCCTATTTAAGTACCCCAAAAAGGGGGAAAAGGGGGCGGCATAGTTCATCCCCTCATTATTTTGTCCCCCAGTTAAGACTAATATCTACCACATCAATTTTGGTTCATCCATTTCCTGCTCCACATCGTCTGTTTTTACCAAGTATGATTTCAACAGTCCTTGAACCATATCAGCAGGACCTTTTTGTTTGGGCTAATCTAATTTCTCTGTCTGGTTCTCTTGCATTTATTCATAACATTTATTTATTAAAAACTCTATTTTCCATGGTTAATTTCCAAGCAGGCAAAAAGTTATAGCTCACTGTGACGTTTAGGAACCGGCACACACTTTTTACATTTGAGCTTACAATTAGGATCCGATTTTTAGATCCAATAATGACAACGTCACCTGCAGCTGACCTCCCACACCAAGTGCTGGTAGCATTCAAGGCCACCTCCTATCAGCATCCCATAGCCAGTCCAGGTAGCCGCAGCACCCAGAACCAGTCCACTGCCAAACTCCCAGAAATAGAACGGATAGCATCCGTGCACCACTTGTTGCAGGCTTCCCGGAGCCGGTACTGGGGGCACCCAGGTCCCACCTGCTGCAGCAGGGCTCCCAGGGCCAGCATGGGCAGCAGATGGGCCCCACCCCCTGCTGGCCTCCCACATCCAGCATCAACAGAGCCAGGGTCCACCCACTGCTGGCCTCCTTCTGTAGACTTGGGCTCTGACTGAGACTTGCTGCTGTGGGAGTTCTTTGCTATGTAGACATACACCCAGAGCCTGTGCTGGTAGTACCTGGCTGAGCCCCATTCATCTGGCATCCCACATCAAGGGCTGGCAGCACCTAAGACTGTCCCCTACGGTGGGGGAAGGTGTTGGGGGGGGGGCAGGGTTGAGGCAAGGGTCCCAGATCCTATCCTCACACCTCTGTACAAACACCAATCCTCCCTCCTGGGGCGGGGGGTCAGTGTTAACCCCTAGAACAAGCACCACACTCGATAGTACAACAGTTATCTAACCCAGGCAAAGCAGGAGTAGACCGGGTCTGGATCTGTAGCAGGGGAGGGCACAGTATACAGCAAAATAGCTCTTCCCTAGCCCCACGCCTGGGTAGACACACACAGGCTCTCTGCCCCACGCCATCGTGAGTCAGTCCAACCTGCCCCTGCGCTTTGGGCTGGTGCTGGCATGCAGTGTGAGCTCAGCAGCGTGGGTCGGCTGCTGATCTCAGTTCCAGGCTAGGCATTTACAAGAGACCCCTTTTGCCAGGAGCCAGTTCTCCTTCAAACAACTTCCTCTCTATCTAGCACAGGGCTCCTGCTTCACCTTGGTTTCCTTCTTCAATTTCCCCGGCTTGTCTCTCACCCCCTCCCCAATTCTTTCAAACCCTCCCAAGAGGGAGAGTTAATTCTGTGTTTGACTGGCACTCTCCCCCAGCCAATCAGGTTTGTGCAGAGTAACAGGAACTGGGGAGAAGGGGAAGGAACTCTCCCACCAGCTCCAATGGGACCCTGAGGGTCCAAGGGGTGCAGGGTGAGGGGCAGGGCTATGGGGGGCAGGGCAAGGGGCAAGACTGTACGGAGCTGTTTGGGTGCAGGGTGAGGAGTTGACCTGTGGGAGGAGCTGTATTTGGGGGGGACAGAGGGCTTTTGGGGTTCAAGGTGAGAGATGGGACTCTGTGGGTCTGTTTAGGGGGCTGGGCTGGGGGAGGGAGCTGTGTCAGGAGAGCAGGCGGCTGGGGAGGGAGAGCAGGCTACAGGGCTTGGCTGTAGGGGCCTCTGGAGGGCGGGGGCTGTAGTGCGGAGAGTGGGGGGAGGGGGCAGGGCTGTGGGTGCCAGGCCGTATGGGGTCTCTGTGTGAGGGGGGAGAGCAGGATGTAAGTGTAAAAGAGACGTAGGGGTCTACGTGGACTGCCACGTGCTGGTTGACAGCAGAGCCGCAGCGGGATGCTCTGCGAGGGGGCGGGTTGGGATCTATCATAGCAGAGGGATAAAGCCCTGTTCCCCTGCGGGAGGCACTGACGCTGCAGCATGTCTGCTTGCCAGGTGACCGGCCTTCCAGAGGGATCCCAGGCCACCAGCGAGTACGAGACCCTCACCGCCAAGTTCCACTTCGTCGACCTGGCTGGCTCGGAGAGGCTGAAGCGGACGGGAGCTACGGGCGAGAGAGCCAAGGAGGGCATCTCCGTCAACTGCGGCCTGGTAGGGTCTTAGCGGGTGGAGGAGACTGGGACAGGCTGCAGTGGATATAAAGGGGCTGCTGGACACAGACAGACCCTGCCTGGCTCACTAGCTCCCAGACTGAGCCACCACGGGTCACCACTAGGGGTCGCGCGGTGGACTCGGTGGTGAGGGATGGGGCCACTAGCTGTGCTACCCAGCGCTGTCCCCAGTAGGGGTAGATTCCAGGATCTGGGGGCTCGGGAATAACGTGGAGGCAGGAGAGGGGCTGCACACTGGCTGGCTGGTATAGGTGCACTGACTGGCTGCTAGTGCATTGGACCAGAGCCCCCCCCGCTCCCTGGAAAGAGGTGGCTCCGATCACCCTGAGCTTTGTTTGTTTCTACAGGGAGGGGCCCTCCCAGCACGGGGGGAAAACTCAGTCCCTTCCATTTTTTGTTGGCAGCTGGCGTTGGGAAACGTCATAAGCGCCCTTGGAGGCCAGAGCAAGAAAGCGGTGCACGTACCCTACCGAGACTCCAAACTGACCCGGCTCCTCCAGGACTCCCTTGCGGGGAACAGGTAACAGGCCCCCTGAGCCAGGGCGTGGGGTCACTCAGCGGGTGTCAGCTTCAGCTGGGTGTGTGTGACCCAGAATGGAAGAGCTGTGCCCTCGCTGGGTCTGCACCCTGGGAGTGTCGCCTGAGGCGGGTGGGGGATTTCTGAGTAACAGGAGGGCCGGTCGGGCTCAGGGATGGACCTGAAGTGCCGTGTGGGTTTCCTGGGGTGGCGCGTTGCTGAGGGTCCGGTGGAGTCTCCATGGTGACTTTTAGAAGGTAATTATCTCGGCTCTCTTGGTCCCGGGCCCCAGACGCAATTAGGCAGCTTTTGTGGAATTAGCTCTTGCAAAATGCGTCTGAGCCTTTCGTGATCTGGGACTTGGCAGCTGAGTTTCCCAGCACGGGATTGCTCTAATCCCTCCCCCTTCCTGTCTCAGTGATGCCCCGAATGCCCTGCCATGGGCTGCCCGGGGTGGCGACTCCCTGAACACCACTTTGTAATGAGCAGGGGAGGCCACCCAGGGGTCTCTTTGCCAGCGCAAAGCAGGCTGCTGCCTGAGCCACACTCCCAGCCTGTGCCGGCCCAGGGTGCAAGGGGCCCACACCCCGTTTATAAAGTAAATAAAGGCCAAAGGGGGTTGTGGCTGGAGCTGCCAATAGGCACCCATGTGCCAGCGTTGGAAGTGGCTGATCTGACGTGGCCCAGGTGCTGCATTGTTTGATGGCAGCTCCAGCTGACCCCGTTGGCTCTCCGTCCTCCCTAGCCAAACCATCATGATCGCCTGCATCAGCCCCTCTGACCGGGACTTCATGGAGACCTTAAACACGCTCAAGTACGCCAACCGGGCTTGCAACATCAAGAACAAGGTGGTGGTGAACCAGGACAAAACCAGCCAGCAGATCAGCGCCCTGAGATCGCCCGCCTCCAGATGGAGCTCATGGCGGTAAGGGGCGGCTGAGCAGGTGAAGCCTCGTGTGTCTACAGCCCACTCGGGTCACCAGCGAGGATTGAACCCAGGACCTTCCACGCCGGCCCCTGCCGCTTGGGCTAATGGAGTAACTCCACTAACTGAGTTTGTGGCAGGCTGTTGTGGTTGTAGGGGCTGGCTGCTAGAGGGAGACCTACTTGCATGTACAAGGCCTGGTTATGACCTGGACTCCTCGCCGTCACAGGTTCAAATCC